AAACAATCAGCTCCATAGAAATATCAACAGACTTACAACAAGTTTAAAACCGTCAAAAACACACAAAGATACAGACCTTTCTGCCTTTCGGTGCTCCCATCGATGTGCGACTTTTCTTGATCAGCTTCAACATAATCTGAGCCTGGAGCCTTTTGGATGTGGTCTGCGCACTGCACTGAATCATCGTGCTGACAATTCCCGCCAGCCTGCCCTTAGCTGAATTAAATAGTGCACAGAAAATGTTTGAGTTAGAGAGAAACATGCAATTCTTAACCCAGTGGTGAGGCTATAAGAGTTGCACAAGGCAGGAATATGGAGTTTGTAGAACTTTTGGTATGAAAATTTGTGTCAAAATCTTAAGGTGACCTATATTTCTGAGGTTATTTAAGCTACATCACAAGCGCAGTTTTTTTTAAATTGCTGTAATCTATTAAGTGTTATTGCCATGTTATTCATCTAGTTATATATTTCTTTAACAAATTTACAGTGTTGCAAGCATATAATAAACTTACCACCAAGCAAAAGGTCCATAGTTTTGTCATCATCATCAGCCTGAAAGGAGGTCAAGCTACTGATGTTTTCCAGTAGAGTTGATTGCTTTTCTGAATACTGCAGCACAGCACCCAAGATGGTGGATGTCTTCTCCATCGATGTGCCTCCGTCTCTCTCGAGTTCTTTCAACATGTGGTTGATGATGGCTGTCTTCCCAACACCAGACTCTCCTACAACATGATATCAGTTTTTAAAAATTTAAGTGATTAGCCAAAAGAACAAAAATACAAAAAAAAAAAAAAGAATTTCATAATTCAAATTATGTTAGAAATAGGATTAGTGAAAAGATTATAATTAAGCAGACCAATGAGCAACATAAAGAAGAAATGAGAGCAGAGTAGCCTATCTTAATGTCTTGTATATTTCAAGCAATGAAAAAATAGCATTTTCAAACTTCAAATTCTGTTTGACAAATGATTCATGAACAGACTGTATTAAGCAGACTAATGAGCGCAAAGTAAAAAAGAAAAGAGAGAAGAATGGGTTAATGTCTTGTATATTTCAAGCCCATCATTCCCAACAGTAGACTTTATCAATAGCAATGTATTTCAAGACCTAAAAAGTCTCTTTAGTTAAATCACTTCATGGCTGTCACTGATTTTTCAAAGAGTAAATGAGAAAATAATGTAAAGTGGAACCTGTGAAAGATGACACAACCATTGCCGAGGAGAAAATGGCCATCTCAGAGAGGTGGATATCTTACACAGAGTCATTACTAATAATAATAACTCCTCCATCACTGTCTGACAATGGCCAATACATCCGCAGAGGAGAATATTTATCCATCAACATAAAGGAATTTGAAGAATTAAAGGTTAGCAGGACTTGTGGCTTCTGCTGCGGCTGATGAGACCAATTCTGGCACAGAAAAGTTTGCCACATTTTGAACATTTAAAGACTTCAAGGGAGGACATGAGTAGTGGCCATTCGGACAGTTGTTTGTCTTATACAGGTGGCCATAAAAGCATGCTCGACTGTATTTGAATAAATGTGAGGCAGCATGGTAAAATCAGGCGCTAATTTTTATCTAATTTTTGTTTTTTGGCTCAACATCTTGTATGACCATTTTAAAAATTCTTATGTATGGACTGTTTGGAAAAACGCTGATTAAAGGCACAAAAAACATATATTTGCAGTTTCCCGGGACTCTAGAGCTATGGAAATCTCCAAACTTTAGCGACCATTTTCTCACTAATTTTACTTCAGAAACCTGGCGACTCCAACTCCTTCAATTGCAAATATCTCGACTTCTTTTCAAGATAAGTGGATATTTTTCCCATCAAATGCAAGTCAAATGAACAACCGTTAAGATGATACCAATAACTCCACATGCCCAAAAATTGACGAGCGCCTGATTCCACTGCGTCGTGACACAAAAAACATTGATTTAAAAAGTAAAGAATCCCAAATGTCCATCCTGACCTGCCAGCAGCACCGGCTGTTTGTTGAGCAGCATGAGACTGGTCAGAAAGGAGAACCGGATGATGTCCACTGTGGGAATAATTTCTGCCTCCTTCAGCTCCTGTTTCTTCTTGTCCGAGGCCACGCCAAGAGTCTCACCTGGAATCAAAATAAAACATCACGGCATTTTTACCCCACCAAAAACTAGAAACACATTTTAAAAATGACTTGGCCATTGTGTTAGGACCATTACAAAAAGGTAAGTGTTTTCCCAAAAAGGTATGTGTGTCCCACAGATTATAAGAGGAATCAAACTCAACACCTTGAGATACTGGACTTTAAGTGTGATGCGATCGAGAAGAAGAAGAAACACCTTGAGAGTATAAGTCCAACAGTAGCACATAATAATATAAAAACTTGTTAACAGCAATAAAACATTGAGAACAAGATATTGAGCAAGTTCACCAACAACCCAGGCAGGTGTCCTTTGCATTGACAGGAGATCCAGAGAACAGTGTATTAGTACAGTCGGTGATAATTTCACTGAAGTGCAAAGACTAGCTGATATACCCCTTCTTCTTTGTTTAACTACCGTGTCACAGAAACTATCTGGGCCGTGTCACAGAAACTATCTGGGCCGTGTCACAGAAACTATCTGGGCCGTGTCACAGAAACTATCTGGGCCGTGTCACAGAAACTATCTGGGGAATGCTTTTAGGACAAAGTCATACAAGAAAAGTCCTCTTTCATAGTAAATAGAAACAGGCTGAAAATTTAACAAACATCAAAAAACCAAAAAAACCTTTCTTTCAAGAAAAAAATATAACAAATAAATGAACAAAAGCATGAGACTCCTCACTTGGTCAGAGTACAGAGTAATAGAAAATATAACTACACACACATTTCTTCACTTAAACAAGGCAACAAAGACCCCCAAAAAAATATGGTTTGCAAATTACACAATTGTGGCATCCAGTCAACTTATATGAGACTAATACAGTATGAAAATAAACAGATTCAAAGAGGTAAATCATTAGAAATGAAGATTGAAATAGATCTGCTTTTGTATGCCCAATCTAGCAGTCACTTGAACTGCCTCTGATTTTTTATCAGAAAAGAAAAGGAGAAACTGGTGCTACATGTCACTACTGCCGGTTTTTAAGATAGCTGAACACCACACACTCTACCTCCCTGCAATACCATAATGGTAGAAACATGGAGGACATAGTAAAAAAAAGTAGGACAATACAATGGAGTTCATGATTAGTTTACAGATTGGATGTCAAAAATTTTAAGCTTTCACAAAATGCCAGCCAATACACCATGGCACTTAAAAATAACTTAATTTCATAATCATTTCTGATTAAACATTCAAGCGAAGAACTCTTACTTTTTCAACAGCCCTAAAAATTACTAATAAGAAAAATACTCTCCCGGATCAAAACAATAACCCCAAAACAGGTTTGTGTCATCAATATCCATTCTTCCTCAACAGGTAAACAGTGTATGGGCACACATCTGTACTCACCAATAGTGATCACAGCTCCCTTCTCTATCATGGACTTAGTGCTGGGAATGAGGACATCCCAGGGAACAAAGTTGCCGGCCTCCATGTCCACAAAGTAGCCATAGATGCTGCGGTTGCCGGCTGGCAGCCTTACACCTGGAACACATATCAGGAAGTTCTCAGAACACAAACCCCAGTTTTATTTGTCCATTCACCTTCTCCAATTTCGCTTTCTTTCCTTTTCTAATATTTTTACTCTTGTTCAAGTCTTTGTGTTTTCAAACACTTTTTCGCCATCCTCCACTCTCTTCTTAATTGCTTCAAAATATGATTTTGTCTCAAAAGTGTATAAATTGTATTTGTTAAATCAAAGCAAGTACATTGCATTATGGAAGACAGGCTCCAGGCCTGAAATACCAATTTCCTTGACAAAATTGGAAAATCAACAAGTTGGAGATGAAGATAAATTTCTTTGGGAAAGCAAATTGTACTGCTGTGACTTTGATTTAGTAAAAGTTTATTAAGCTTTCATTGAACAAAGAGTTAATGATATTTTCATTCCCATATGCATGGTGATTAATACAGTCAATCAACATCTTTTTAGTTAATTTGTTTTGGAATTAAATTAGGCAAAGCAGAAGGAGAGAAGGGTAGACTTAAGTTAAGTTATAATAGGAAAGTGTATCCTAACCTTCTTCACCCCCCCCCCCCTTTTCAACTTCTTTTAGTTTAATCTATTTATTCATATCATCTCTAAAATAGCTTAATCAGCTATTGAAGAATAAGGACTTTTTTCAATACCTTCGTGTCCAATTTCCTTTCACACAATACATAAACCTGTAATATGCACACTTCTACAGTCACCCCAAAATAGCTTTTTGTCCTGGGTTGTTATACCAGCCCTGTCTAGTATTTTTTTTTTAATGCATCATCAAAGGGTTAACCCTATCCGTACGTTGTGTTTTACTATCGTATCCATACCACGTGGGGAACTCTGTGTCACCACTTTCCAAAGAGGAAAATGACTCATTAATCCGATCTGTACGCTCTGCATAGCAATCTGTCAAAATAATTTTTTGAGAAATACTGAAAGTTTCAAAGAGATCTTTGAACTAGAAGTATTCTAAAATGTGAAGAAAACAACCCCGGGGGGTACAAAATGGCCCCCAGGGTGTACAGAAAGGGTTACACTAACCCAGAGGGGGCTCCACATCAAACAGTTCTCTGGCAAAGTTGTCAAACTCGTTGTTGACGTCGAGACGCTCCGCAGCCCCAGCCCCAGCTCGCTTAATGCTGCTGTCATCTTCCTCCATGAACTCTCGTCGTTTGAGCACGCCCCCGACACTCCAAGTGTAGGCAAACACGAACAGCTTGCCCAGCAGGTTGGTCAGCTGAGTGGGGTGTCGCTCCAGGAAGAACATCTTTCTGTCAGAGCTAGGGAGAAAAAGTGACAGGTTTGGGAGGGAGAATTGTCAACAAGGCTAAACAAGCTTCAGGAAAAAGGGTGGGGTGGGGGGAAGGGGGGGTAGTAACATTTGAAAGAAATAATAAGAATCATTTTCAAAGCAGTCATTTGAAGAAAAAAGTATTTTATGCAAATTCTGTGGCGTGTTTAGTTTCAGTAACTGACGGGGCAAACAAAGTACTTTTTTCTGTCCCATCAGTTACGCAAACTAACGTCATAGAATTTGCATAAAGTACTTTTTTCAAAAGACAGCATTTAATATAATTCTTAATATATCTTGCAAATGCTCTGATCATTTAAAGTTGATATAAATTAATTGATGCTGAATAAGTGTTATCATTGTCAGAAAATATAGTCCGTATGTCCCGTCAGTTACCGTGGAATAGCCCGATACGAATAAAATTCTCCATGTAACTACACTAACCCTGATCATGATGAAATTAAATTATTCGTAAAAGTAAAGTATAATCCCCCATGTCTTTGTACACATTGATGTCATGATATTTGAATGTTTACGGTACTTATGATCTCATTGTTTTACTTTCTGTGTTCCGGTAATCTAATTACGGTCTCGCTTCGTTTAGCTATAGTCCTTGTATTTTGTTCGCACTTCGAGTGTGCTGGCCGCAACATGAGCCATTAAACCTCTGTGCATAATCCGCTGTGTTCTGTTATAGATCCTTCCTGGCCTTCAGGACGTGATAGGATATTACAAACACGACAATTGACAATCAGAGCTGGCTGCTTCCTGTTCATGTAAGAAAGATAGTGCACTGTGACCCTGGATCTATGCATGAAGTCAAGCATGTTCAAAACTTTAATATATCACCAAATTATCTAAGCAGGTAATTGGAGGGCACCACTGAGAAGTAGTCCTACTTCCTTGCTTTCCCTTTGTTGTTTCTGTCTGTCTGTCTGTCTTACTTTTTCCCAGCACTAAATGACCGTTATTTTGTCCATTTGCTTCTCTTAACTCAAACAAACACACAAACAGGTTATCTAAGAGCATTAAATATCTTACTTCTTTTGCTTGGATCCATGAAGGTCATCAGAAGTGTCCGCCTCCTCTTTAGTCTTGCCCAACCGTTTTGTCTGACGACGCTTGAGCTTGGAGGCCCTGCTTCCTGTCCCCGTGGTCCGAGAGGATGTACGGCTCGCATTTCTCAGATCTTCTGGGCTCGACGGTTTAAGCGAAGACGGTTCCTTTTCCTTCTCTTTTTCTTTCTCATCTAGTTGTAAAAGGATTTGGGGGAGGGGGTGAATTAAGTAACGAGTTGGATACACACACATAATTTTCTGATCCAGGGCTAGAATGTTTACACATACATTTGGTAAATTCTTCATGTCCTGGACCATTAAACAATCATTAAACTTATAGAAGCTTCAGTAAAGCTGCATATACATTTCTTTTTTTATGAAATATCATTTAAAAAAGAGTATTGTATTAAATTTTATATCTAAACTGTAAAGCAAGCATATTAATGTTGCATAAGTGTGAGGTAACGGAAAGCCTACATGGATTTCAGAACTCCCCATCTCTCAGAAATATATATTCTGTGAAATGTGTTCAGAAAGAAAAACATCCTTATGCACCATCAACATGAAGGAACAGAAAGCTTACCAGGAGCTCCGAACCCTCCATGACCACCGATGAAGTTGACGTACGCCGACAGGATGTGGCACAAAGTACCCACAATGCTCATGGCTGGAACCTGTACAGCTTGGTGTTCTCGGTACTTGTGCAAGAAGACGAGCCCTTTGTCCATGCTGGCATCAAACAACGCTTGCAGGAAGTTCTTTCCCGACTCTGGCATATCACGCGGAAGTCGATTCAACCAGGTCTTCACATAGGGCTTCCATCCAAGGTCCACAGGATCCTTTAAGGTAATAGAAAAGGATTTGGACTCATCGATATTGCTCAGGATTTTTTGACAACACAAGCTTACATGTGTCACTTCCAACATGTCGACTGATTCTTAAAAAGTATTGAAATGCAAACTAGGAACAAAACAAGGAATTGTAACAGGATAAGGAAGCACTTCCCTCCTCTTCTAACTACCCCCCTTGCCCCCAATCCCTCCCCAGGCCACTCCATCTCAATTTAAGTACAGACATCTACTTGAAAAAAGGCAACAGAAATGTAATCATAAAGCTAAAAAATGATAAACAAGTGTGCTATTATAAAGAAAAATGCTCACCATGTAAACCATAGCACATCTACTGACAGTAGCTGGGCTGGCTCTGGACAGGTTGTCTACTTCAAACAGAAGACGCATGCCAGGGGCAAGGGCAATGCGCTCTCCACTGGCCAGGCACAGCACCTGTTTAGGTGGACCACAATAAAAACAGAATTTATACCACATTCGATGACCAAGCACAACAAAAACAGAATTCATATTTTCTTCATTGACAAAGCAGGCATTTTAACAAACACACATATCAAGGGGCTAGAGCAATGGGCACGCCATAGATGGGATAGAAATAAGAGAACCTGAGAAAGACAGCAGAATATCACATGAAACTGAGAAAGACATAGCAGAATTTCACATGTCACTAAAACATCTCCCTTTCCACCTCATTATATGAAACTGTATGCTTCAACCCTAGAAAATGTCAGAGATCAAACCACGAAGAACAGTCAAGACAACCATATTAGGTTCCTTTCCAATTTCTTTGAGTCTGTTCAGGCGATCATTTGTCTCCTCTTTCTCAGGTCTTTCAGAATCAGTGGAAGCCAGTTTGTTTATCTAAGATACCAAGTCTTTCTGGTCATCGTTTGTTTGAGCAAAACATTTAAAACACAAACAAAAATGTCAAATAACGTGTAAAACTAAATCACAATATGAAGTGTCAAAACGTACTAATACACCAGAACAAAGTATAAAGTCAATTAAATGTATGAACTAATTTTTTTTTCATGTGTGCCGATTCTCATACCCACATGAGCAACAGCTCATTTCAGTTAAACTGCCAGTTAAGTTCTCATTGAGCAAGATACAGGGAAGATTTTCAAACATTCACCCTTATCCAAGATTATTATAAACTTTCTGTTAACTTATTCTTTCTTATTTGTTATAACAATGCACACCCATTATTTAATACAAGCTCAAAGCAAATTTGTTCATTAAAGTCAGAAGCACTACTCTATATGTAACAAAATGATGATGGTCACTGGTGCTGATGACACAGATAAAGATCTCTTCCTTCGCTAACCTTGGAGTCATCCAGTACAGTGTTGAGGTTCTCCACCCACAGTGTGTCCACTGGACCGTCCAGGACAAGCCAGCGCCAGTCTGTGATATTTCCCTCTTTGCCATCTTCATCTTCTTCTTTCTCTCCGTCTCGATGTGAATCCATAGCAGAGGGAGGAGCAGTTTCAAGTTCAGTCCCTTGTTGACTTGTTGTCCCTGTTTTTGTAGTTCCCTGTCAAAAAAAGTTTCTTCTTTCTTCTTCATCATATTTACAGGACATCTTAATTAGTTTCTTCATGCACAGGAAAATCCATCAACCACACCAATGGTTCTAAAAAAAAAACATTAAAAAAATATTCAAGTCAATATCTTCATTCTTCACTAGGTTCAGAAAACAAAGCTTCTTCAAACAAAATTCCGTTGCACGGTAAAACACTGTAAAATAAGCATCCATTTCTTTCTCAAATAATTCAGAAACCAAACACTCTGCAGAGACAAAATGAACTTCTTTCACACAGTTGATCTGCTGTGTTCATAAAGTAAAAAAAACTTGTAGAACATACCAGAGTGGTGTGAGAGACCACAGAGATATCTGTCATGTTGGACAGAGGCCTGTTGCTGGTGGTTGCTCCATTCCCAGGTTTGAGATCCTCAGCAGCGGAAACAACAGGCAAAGTAGAAGAGAGATCCTTGGAAAACTTCCTTGTGGCATTGGCAATCAGCCCGTCAGACCACTCAAAGGTGTTAGGGTCAGTTTCTCCGTACAGCTCTCCCAGTTTCACACACTTTGGATTGACAATGAATGTCTCCACATGACCTTTCTTACCCCGGCTGGCCTGAAGGTATTAACAGAAGAGACACAGAAACCATTACTTATCAGACTAATAAGCAGTAGCTTAGAAGACACACGTAGATCTTGGACTCTTGGACTTTATACTATAACCTCAAACGATGCATAGAAGCACAAGAATCAATAAATAACAATTACATTTCTAATATTTTTTTAACTTTCAGGGAGATAAAATCCGAAATTTTGAATAAATGACTTTGTGTCTTTTACATTATCAGGCAGGACTTCTCTTTGTCATGAAACTTCAATGTAGTGTATTCTTCAATAAGAGATTTTAAGCTTATCTCTGAGACAGCGCTTTGAACAAAACAGCAGAAGATTAGGAAAGCATTTGACTAAGCTTCAAAAGCCTTAGAAGAAAAGAAGCAGTGTGCACAGTGCAATTCAGATCACAAAGCTACATAGGTGTGGTACCAACTTTTAACCTGCACATAGAAAATGGATGTAAATCTACAATAAGATATTACTTCCTTTTAGCTTGCTCAACTTGACCTACAGCAGTAGGCACTCCACTTGTTTCTCCCTTGTGGTTTCCTAAATGGCACACTCGGTTATGATGAAAACAGATTTAGACCCTAAGATACAGACACTAAGCTATAGCCTAATTTCTATTCCTAGTGAATAGAAGTGTATCAGAGCTGGTATTAATAGTCAGAAATTACTTCTACACAAACTAGGCACAACAGAACGTGAAGACCATGGTTTGTCATTTCTAGCTAAGAATGTGAATTGGCACTGGTTAAGTTAAGTTAATACACGACACTTTTATCTTTTGAGAAAGATTGTCCTGTCCAAGTTTGAAAAACCAGCTTCAATCAGTTTTAAGCAACCCACTTACAAAGAATACACTCGGCCTTTTTGCAGCTGCTTCCTGCTGCTCCTGATCCACATGTTGTGGGTGCATCATGGGCAAGATGACCAGTGCCTTTTGCAGGACATTACGGACAGTGGTCTTCCCACCACCCGTGGGTCCCACCAACATGACTCCATGCCGGACCTGGATCTGGTTGTAGAGCTGCTTCACCTTATCGATCTGGTTGGGCCAGTGCTGGAGGCTTTGGTCTCGAATAGACATACTGATGGCTTTCTGTGAATCATCAAAGGTTGGGTTGGTGTCCAGGTTGTTATTGTTTTTAGAAGACGGTGAGAACAGAAGCAGAGAAAAGGGGGACAGGGTAAGAAAGAGAAAAAAAAACAGGCGTGACATGTCAGATGTTAACTTCATAGTAACTTTGTCTTCACTTAACAATCCTGTGTATGCTAACCTCAGCATGGATCCCAACATAGACTTCCTGCAGTAAATGTTATATAGAGGACGATTGAGAAAAACTTTTAAGAGAACAGCGTAGACAGAAATCAAAGAACGAAAATGGATCCTGGCCACAAGACCTTCCAAATATCAGCCACATTCTCTGTTGATAGCCCTATGGCACAACTCACAGTGAAAAAGAATAAATGAGTGCAATACAAAGGAATGGTTAAAAAGAGAGTTTGCTGAAACTTTCAGAGTCTTACCAATACCTTTGATCAGTGATCTCAGCAGTTTATCTGAAGTCACAAGGTCATCTGATTTATTACTTTGATAATACATCAAACTATGAGATAAGCGGTAGTACTGACCAAACAAATAGGTTTCCAGAGACATCTACACAAATCAGTTCTGGAATAATACTTTTCCACGGAATTAATAGAAAAGTTTTCCACACCAAAATCACTAAAAGGCTCAAATTAAAAGCAGCCTGAGAGTGAAATTACTTTGCTTTCTCCACTCACCTCCAGGGCTCCATGATCTGGCTCTGGGGGCACCACACCAGGGAATAAGTCATCCAGAATGCTCTCAAACAATGGAACATCTTCTGCCAAAAACTTGGGCATGTTAGCATCTCGCAATGAATGGATGAGGATGTAAGCTTCATCTTCTTCTTTGATGTCTTTGATCCGGAGTGGATCTCTGAAAGGAGAATAACAAAGGCTTACTTTAGCAGCTCTGCAGTTACTAGAGTTCAGCTTATTATTATCACTACAGCTGGAGACTAAAAAAGTTGCAGATTTTTAAAACCCTTATGGCATAATTTATTCTTAACCCTCACTTCCCCAGCTCATGTAACCATGAAATCCTCGACTCCTCAGGCCCAGCAAACACCGATTGTGTCCGCAATTTTTGGCAGACATAAAAAAGAATGTCTGCACTTTTTTCTCTGAAGTTTTAGAAGATAACATGTAGATTATTTGTGTCACGACGCAGTGGAATCAGGTGCTAGTCAATTTTTGGGCATGTAGAGCTACTGGCGTGATCATAAAGCTTGTTCATTTGTCTTGCTTTGGATGAAAAAAATAACTATTTATCTAGACTAGAATTCAAGATATTTGCCATTGAAGGAAGTGAGGCCGCCTGTTTTCAGTGGTGAAATTAATAAGAAAACAGTCGCCAAAATTTGGTAACCCCAATAGCTAAAGAGTCTTTGAAAACTTGGAAAGTGACATATTTTGTGCCTTTAATCAATGTTTTTCAGTAAAATTCACAAGGAAATGTGTTCTTATATGGACCTAAAAGAGGTTAAGCCAAAAAAAAAAAAATTCGATAGAAACATCCAAACTGGCGGAAAAATGCATGTTTCTCAGATTTCATTGTTTTGACGAGCGCCTGATTTCACCACTCTGCCTCACACTTTTCAGAGACAATTGGCTCGATTTCAATAAAAGTACACAACTTGGTTTGAGGTGACTGGTGCCTCATACAGGAAATACGCACAACTGGGCCTAGGGGAATGAGAACTCATGAGGAAAGTATACAAGACTGAGGCTGTATTACAGGGGTCGATGTTGTCATGTCTTCCACTGTTGTCTGATTGAGCATCGATACGGAATATCATTCATTGTGAAGCTATTTAAGTTAATCTGCTTTCTAATGATGGGTTCATTTTCAATGTTGTTTTCTATAAATTTTTTGTTTTAGTAGAGGTTTTACGGCACTTGCAACTGCATAAGGTCATATGAGCGCCATTTCAATAAATACAGATAATGTCCTTTACAAAGAAAAAGATCGATTCTCATTTCTTTGTGATACAATTTGGATTTTTTTTAAAATGCTCAACATGAAAGCCCTCACTTTTGCAGCATAGCCCTGCGGCCATGGCCAGCCATGACAAGGACCGACTTGATGGCTCTCATGCCAAAGTCGTAGTGGTCCTGCTGAGACAGCTGTTTGCTGGCCAGTTGGTACAGGTTCACCAGCTTGTGCGACAGAATCCGGGCCGCTGTGAAGCCCTCGGAGAACAGCATGATCTCGGCAATGAGGACGTAGTCCGGCACCATCATGGCCACAGGTCGGAACAAGTACTTTAAGTTGTCTGGCAGCTCCACTCTTCCTGCATATCTGGTGGTGGAGGAGGACAAGAGGGAACAGACATTGTCTTCAAACATTATATTTCAAAGTGACAAAAGAGCAAAGACATTCAGAAACTTGCATTCCCGTATACATACATACACACACACATGGATGCCCGCTACACGCATGCATACAAACACACACACACACACACACACACACACACAAACACACTCACACACACATACACTCTTAAACACACATATGTGTCACAACGCATTAGAATCAAGCTCTCGTCAATTTTTGGGCATGTGGAGTTATTGGTTTCATCTGAAAGCTGATTTTTTTTGCTTTGCTTTCAATGAAATAAATATCCATCTATCTTGAATAGAACTCAAGATATTAGCGATTGAAAGAAGTGAGGTCGCCTGGTTTCAGTGGTAAAATTAGCAAGAAAATGGCTGCCAAAGATTGGCAACTCCAACAGCAAAAGAGTCCCTGAAAACAGAAAAATGACCTATTTTATGCCTTTAATTGATGTTTTTCAGTCAAATTCACATGAATGTATGGAAGTAAAAGAGGTTGAGTCAAAAAATGAAAATTCAATAAAAATTTCCAAACTGGCAGAAAAATGTTTGTTTCTCCAATTTCTGTATTATGACGAGCGCCTGATTTCACCACGCTGCCTCATATATTATTATATACACAAAATAAAAATGAAAGGAATGCATATACTCAACTATATCCAAATTCAAAAGACACATAAAGCCACACAGACATAAAACGCCTTACGTGGGGTTCATAGTGATGAAATAGCCACAGGTTGGGTTCAGCTTGATGTCTCGTCCTTCAAACATGAACCTCAACGACTGAGCATCCTTTGCTGTCTTGATAGTGTGGATCTGCATAGCCACTACAGACAAGACCTCCACATCAATGCGGTTGAACTCATCAAAGCAACACCAGGAACCAGACTGAGCCAAGCCTGAGAAAAACTTGCCCAGCATCTATTGAGAAAAGGCACAAGTAGTTTACTTTGGTAAAAATAAACAATTACTGTGGTTCTTCTCAAAATATTAACTATATATCTCCTGGGGCGATTTTTTCATTATGCCACAGCCCTCTTTTGGTATGAAACCTAAAAGTGACATAAATACATCACTAAATTGGTCATCAAATTTTTTTTATGAACATAGCGCTTAGTCTAAACAAAGAACTCCTAGTTTTTTGGGTTTTTTTAACCTGTTTTCAGCAATTGCCAAAAAACTAAAATATATTGATTTCATCGCAAAGAATGAGCCCAAGCCCCTGCCAACTGCTAAAATATCCTGTTGGAGTCCTTCCACATTATGTCGACATCTTCAATCCAATAGAAAGGGGCTGTTGGGGTTTGTTAAACAAAAAAAACCTTTTAAAGACCATTTTACAATTCAACCAACAGCCACAAAAGCATCAATTCAAATGGGTCAATGACAAAGTCAAAATATCTCAATAACTATTTTTTTATAGCCTTGAGCAATAACCAAATTAAGAAAACTGTCTTGGTACAAGCTGCAATAACTTAAATAAACTAAAAGAATATGAGAGGAAAAAACACTAGCATGCCATGAAGGATAAAGGCACTTTACCTTGTAGTCCAGGCCTTCAGAACAGTTGAAAACAACACACTGTTTGCCCATTGCCTGACAAAAACAGAGGAAAAAAGGAAACATCAATCAAATGAAAAGGGCCTACATAAAACACGTCCATCAAAAAGTACACATATAAACACACATACATACTCAAATAGATAATAATTGCACACACATTTTCATATTCACAAACTCACAAAACAGTATTCTTCTAACATATGGTCATAATCACACAAAACACAAAAATAGGCACACGCACACACATGCACATATGTGTGCACGCAGACAGGCACAGGCACACACACACACATACACACACACACACACACACACACACACACACACACACACACACACACACACGCACACACACACACATAAACACACACATATAAACTATATAAAACATACACTCACACATACGCATGCAATGAAAAATTGTTTATATAAAGACATGTGAAATGCATTGCCTTAGAAAAGAAGTAAACAAGACCAGGCGAGATAAAATTAGAAACACAGTAATCAGAGAAATGGTGGGCACAAATGATGTCATGCATCATATCCAACACCAAAGAATCAAATGGTTCGGACATCTCATGCGATTACCAACACACCACCTAGCACAACGTGCCTACATAAAAAAATTCGAAGGCAATAAGGCTAGAGGGCGACCGAGAAAGACCAGGATAGATGGAGTCATGGAAACATTAACAACTCACGGCATCCCCCTGACCCAAGCTCTCCGGCTGGTGGCAGAGAGACGTCTCTTTCTTCACTCAACACCCAAAAGGGTATAAGCGGCGGTTAAAAATAAAGTAAAGTATATACAGACAACACACAACCCCCCACCTTGGCCAAGTCTTTGACCGTCTCAGTTTTCCCAGTCCCGGCAGGACCCGCCGGGGATCCCCCAAGGTGAAGGTGAAGGGCTCCGGTCAGTGTCAGGTAGCAGCGGTCAGTCAGAGGAGTGATAACCAGCCGGGTTGAGCAGCCCAGGTACTCATAGCCGTACTGAAAGTGAGCGTTGCTTTGTAGAACCTGGCAGTTGTTGGTTGTCTCATCCCATTCATACCGAAGTTGTCTGAAAATATTCGGTTTTGTCAGAGTTTTATAGCACTTGCAGTACAAGGAGGTCATATATGTGCCAAAAATTTAGTTTGTTTTATTTAGTAAGAGTTTTACGGCACTTTCAACTGCATAAGTTCATATGAGCGTCAGAAGATTAGAGGTGTTACAAGAGTGCAATAAAAAAGAAGGAGAGATAAGGACGACAGATGTTTCATAGGAAAGAAGAAGAAAACCACACCAGAGCACCCGCCAACCACTCACGCTGAAGATTAGAGGTGTTACTAGAGAGTAATAAACACAAAAAAGAAGGAGAGATCAGGATGATAAATATTCCATAGGGAAGAAGGAACAGACCACACCAGAGCATCCCATTCATACCGAAGTTGTTTGAAAAAAATGCTGCCAAAATAGTTTGACAATTCTAGACATAGAAATCCCAACTCGTAGAGTCAGTTCTTCAAATTTGAAGGCATGGAGGGTTGTAGTAAACATAAGTACTTCGTGTTCAAATATTTTAGTGAGTATTGATGTGAGTGGGTGTGTGTGTCTGTGTGTGTGTGTGTGTGTGTGAGTGTGTGTGTGTGAGCGCGTATATTGTTATCAACGTTCGAAGCACAGATGTCTATAACATAAAATTTAGCAGAAAAAAGTTTCACAGAGGTGAAGAAGGACAGAATACAATATCAATGATAGATCATGGATTGCCACACCCTTAGCACCAGATATCAACTGCATGTCCTGTTTTGGTAGAGAAAGGGTTAAAAATTATATCCAATTTTTTCTCCAGGGAGCGAAAAGTCTGGACCATTTCCCCTTCATACCTCATGGAAGAAGTTAATAAAATGGTAAAAGAACAAACCTACTCTATTTAAAGTCCTTTCCCTTCCCTCTCAATCAAAATACCAGGAAGTGGAAGTAAACAGAAATGTAAAAGTGGATCAAGTACAAATTAAGCTCTTCCATACAAAGTCCTCTCCTTTCCTTCTGAATCATATCTTGTGGTAAGAGTAAACAAAAAAATAAAAGTAAATCAAGTGCCAAGCTCTTCCATACAAAGTCCTCTCTCTTCCCTCTGAATCAAAATGTGAGGCATCGTGGTGAAATCAGGCACTCGTCAAAATATTGAAAGTCAAGAAACTGGCATTTTTCAGCAGGTTTGGGAATTTTAATTGAATTTTTGTTTTTTGACTTAACATCTTTAACATCTATTCAAAAACACATTTCAGTGTGGATTTTACTGAAAAACGTTGATTAAAGGCACAGAAAATGCAAGTTTTTAAGTACTCTCAAGCTTTGAAAGTCATAAAAATTTGGTAGCCATTTTCTAACTAATTTTACTTATGAAACGCTGCGACCCCCTTTTCTTCAATCGCAAATATCTCAACTACAATTCAAGATAAAAGGATATTTTTTTCATTGAAAGATAGGCAAATGAACAGGATTTTAGATGATACCAGTAACTCCATAAGCCCAAAAATTGACGAGCGCCTGATTCCACTGCGCCGTGACACAAATACCTTGAAGTGGAAGTAAACAGTAAAATAAAAGTATATCAAGTACAGACCTCTTCCAGACAAAGTCCTCTCTATCTCCCTTCCTTCTGAATCATAATACATTGTGATAAGAGTAAAAAGAAAAGTTATTACGAAGAAACGAAAACAAACCTCTTCCATCCAAAGTCCTCTCCCTTCCTCCTGAATCATAATACATTGCGATAAGAGTAAATAGAAAAGTTATTACGAAGAAACGAGAACAAACCTCTTCCATTCAAAGTCCTCTCCCTTCCTGACCTTGCTCTGTATCATGCTGAGCAGGATGTCACGGTTGTGGACAGTGATGGTGAGCAGAGCCTCGATGCTCATGCGCTGGTAGGAATGGAGTCGAGCGGACGTGAAGCTGGCCAGCTGGTTGAGGAGCTCCACGATGCGGTCCTGAGCTTGCTTCAGCGCCTCACGCGACTCGGTTGACTCAAAGCATTTGGTCATGTCTTTGTTGAACATGATTTGGATCTGTAAAAAAACCCAAAAAAACTCAATTCGCTATAATGTTATAAAAGGACAAAACAGAATGAGAAGTGTTTAAAGACTGATTCTTATAATCATCTCAGTCCCCGCAACTCCCCCCCCCCCCCCCCCCCCGACTCTCACTCTCTCTCATCCAAATAATAAAGTGTTTGAGCTGATTTCTTGTCATGATAATGGAAAAAAAAGGATTAAAAAATTTTAATTGGCGCTTACTTGTCCCCAACCACTACTTTTCCGGGTTTTAAAAAAATATATTATTCTTGTAATATTTACACTTGTACTAGTAACCTGTTATTATTCAATTATTTTTTCTTAATGAAAGAGTTTGAATAAAACATTTATTTAATCAACATGAACATTACTAATCTTTCAACTCAAAGAACCACGACTAAATTTGTTCCTCCATCTGCTCACTTACCACAGTCAGCACAACTTGTCCAGGATGTCTGAGGACCCAGTCCTTCAAGCCTGTAGCCAGCCAGTCAGACAGCCCCAGCTTCAAGTGCCTGAAAAATGTAGGTCCACCATTGCATTATAAAGTTCCTACATTCTGCTCGTCAGACATTTTGAGCTTCTTTTCCTATCTCACAATCCTCTTTAAGCACACTTTTAACATCATGAGCAAAAGAATGGATGCTAATGTCTCTCGACTGAAACTACAGATTGCCTTTTCTGAGCAAAGTTCAAACACTTCAAATAACAAAAATACCAGAAAATGTAAGAAAAGTTCTTTTGTACACTTCCTTTTTCTCTCAATACACTTCTAAAGTCTACAATAACTTTCAAAGGATGCAGGACAGTAGGAAGTTTAGACCACACACTAAAGGTCAACATCAGTTCTAAAAGGAGAAATATAAATCTATGACAAAAAGAATTACCATTATGATTGAGTATCTCCATATCAAATATTTTCCTTCCCAAAGAATGATCCACTGACAATTGATTTATAGTGATCTTTAGTTTAGTTTTAGTAGAGATTTTACGGCGCTCGCAACTGCACAAGGTCATATGAGCACCAGAAGTTTAGAGGTGTTACAAGAGAGTAACATAAAAAAGAAGAAGGGGAGATAAGGACGATAGATGTTTGATAGGAAAGAAGAAGCAAACCACACCCGCCAACCTCCCACATAGTGACCTTATTTTTAAGTATGATCAAATGTACCAATAAACAATCTCGTTTTACAAGATAGAATCAAGTGCCTCACTTCTTCACAGTCTCAAACATGCCAGCCTCCACAGTGCCAAGCCACTGCTCCACAGCTCCACGTGCTCGAACATTCCTGTGAAGACAGCAAGAAATATTTGTTGACTTTTTGCATTTGTTTTATGTTTTAGTAATAGTTTTACGGCACTTGCAACACAATAAAGTCATATAAGTGCCAAAGATTAGAGGTGTTATAAGAGAGTAACAAACACAAAATAGAAGGAGGGGAGATAAGGACGATAGATGTTTGATAGGAAAGAAGGAGAAAACCACACCAGAGCACCCGCCAACCACCCACTTTGCATTTGTGTATGAAGGTGAAGACATTTGAGAATGTAGATGATGTCTCTCAGTGTCATGATGCCTTAGCTTCACCTTGACAGACAGACAGACAAAGCAAATGAGTACAAAGCTAATCATTTTTGTCTCCCTGATGGAAGCAAGTGCAACAGGTGAATGAAAGGTTAAGTGGGAAACATTATCCTACGAAAAGTTAAGACTGATCTCCACCTCCTCTCCTTTCACTTTCAACTATCTCCTAGACATGGTAGGAGGGTCAAAGTAGAACACACTCCACAGTCCCGTTCAGCTCAACGAAATCTCCAGCTTGCCCACTTGCCCCGTGAGTCCGGACAGTAAGAAAGTGAATACATGGAGTACAAGTGTATTTTGTCACTTTATAAAACCTTATAGACTGGAATTTAAAAAAAGCTTCATTCAAAAGTAATAATATGACAAAAACTTTCCTTGTAGAAAGTGAAGCACTTCCAGTGATGAAAGAAAATACAAAGACACAATCATGGGCACACAGTGCTACTAGCAAACAGACAGACAGGAGTAAGGGAATAACTAAATGCCAATACAAAATATCATTTGTTTATATATATCCTTGCAGAAAGTTGACATACACAGGATTTAAGTCTATTACATTCAAAATATACAATAAAAGTATTGGTATGATTCCTAATATTTTTTACGAATAAATCAATATATAAAGAAAAATAAATGGAGGTTTCTATATATTACTTAATTACAGTTACTTTGCATACCTTGGCATTGCAATGACTTCTTTTTCAGCAGAGATGATAGATTTCACAGTTGGTGGTTGTCGAGGCAACATGCGAATGTCCAACTGCTTGATGTTCCCAAAACATTTCCCTAAGTGAGGCTGGAAATGACAACAAAAAACCCCATCTTCAGAATCCATAAACTAGAGAAAGCAATTCTTTAAGTCTGAACTGTTTTTTTCTAAATTCAATCTAAAGTTTTACTTATACTTCTTGAAAAAATAAAAGTTCATTTGCTATCCAACGCATATCAAAGACAGTTCTCTAAGATAAGTAACCAGTCTATTTGAAATACACAACATTATGTCTTCAACAACACCAGTGGCAATATTCTTTCTTTTACAAAAATATATACAGATAACTGTCTATAGGAAGTGACATTTCATGTATGCATGAGCAGGAGCAAAGATAGGTACAAAACTGCCTCTATTTTTCAAAAAGAAAATAAAAGCATTTTCATCATTCATAGTGTGGACATCTATATCAAAGCCTGTAGGCCTACATAGTAGATGGCACTTGTTTAAGGCAATGCCTTAACTTGTTTACAATCTTTAATGGAGGTTCGGAAAATAAACAAAAAAATAAGAAAGAAAAAAAAACTGACCTGCACAGCATTTGGGTCTTTGGACTGAGCCAGAATATCCAGAAGTTCATCATTACTAAGGAAATAAAACCTTGGGAAAACGAACCTCTTGGTCTCTAGGTAGTCCTGAAAAATAAAAGAGTTACTTGGGAAATAGTTGGCATAACACGTGCAAGCAAAGATCCAACACAATTTGGGGCAAGTCAACTACTAAATCAATATTTCGGAAAGTAGCGATCTGAGTTCCTGCTGACAAGTTTAAAGGGTGCTTCCCGCGACAGAGAAGAAAGCAGAGTAAGTTTTTAGAAAAATCCAGCGCAACAGACGGCACATAAAATCGGGATAAACACGTTCAAAATTGAGAAAATCGGGATGTTTGATATTTGTGGCAAAAAATCGAGAAATTCGTTATGAGTGGCAGGTCTGTATAATGGCACAACATCAAATATGAACAGAACATAAGCAGAATATTGACAACAGATTTGAAAGCAAACGTTTACAAATGAAGTAAATATTTAATTTTGAAAGGAGCTTTTGCCTAATTTTTTCCCAAATCTCCCTCGTTCTTATCAAGGAAATATTTTGCAAGTCTATTACTGGTTTTCCTGTAAAATGGTTATTACATTTTCTCTCAAGTCCAGTTTTTATTTATCTCACAAGTTGGACTATCAAATTTTTCATTTTCATCACTATTGCTACAATCATTTTTGTTATTTATTTTCATGCTAAAATGATTCTGCGCAGCAAACCTACCTCAAGACAACGTTGAACTTTCTCCAGGTTTGCATTGGCCTGCTGTAGTGTGTCCAGAGTGCCAGGCGTGATGGCCGACTTGAGAGCGTTGGGGCGATCTTCCGTCCTCCGCATGATGTCTTTCCAAGCTTTGTCCACCGACATGAACAATTTGTACTCTGATGGCAGTTGTCTGGTAGCAATACAGTTGAAAAGTATATAGTTTGAATCATCACAATATAAAAATGAGCCAATCTATTAACCTTAGTTGATTTTTAATATACTGGATAAACAAATGAAGTAAAAAAATGAAAAAAGTGATGAAAACATCTTTTTAGAGTATTATTTTAAAAACCCACCTCCTGTATCAATATAACAGGAGCTCTAATCTTGTTCTCACTGCTGAGAGAAATATTAGAACTCTTTAAGATTAAGAGACAGACATGTTGACATGAACTCACAAGAATTCTGATCTGGGATCATCTTGAAGAGGCTTATAATGTAATAATATTATCCTGTTCTTTTTCATTGAACATCTCAGTAATATGAAAAAGATGTACAAAGATCTCTGCAGCATATTCCTGATCCCACAGAATGCCCCTGCTCAACCATATCACCCAGCAACATATCATTTTACAAGCATACATCAACAAAACTGAAAAAACAAAGCAAAAACATATACGCTCTGTCACTCCTTGTCAAGATGCGTTACCTCTGTATGTCTGGGGTGCTAAAGATCTGCTCCAGGTAGAGCCAGTTCCTCTGACAGTTGAGCCATTCATCCAGGGTGCGTGAGAATACCTGCAGTTTACGCTCCCACTCCTCCACCTGGGCCTAGAGACAGGTATGACAAACACACGATATACACACACTGCACAATAACCCTGCAAATCAAGTCTATCCTGTTTACAAATAACCCCCAACACTGATAAAGTTCAAAACTATTAAAAGAACTGCATTGGCTCCCTGTAAAAGAAACAATAATATTTAAAATCTGAGTCTCTGTGTCATGTGCTTCAAAAGCGTAAATAAAACTGCTCCTTTTTATCTACAAGAACTTATCAGTATATATAAGCCTGGGAGAAACCTAAGATCATCAAACGATAACACCCTGTTTGTGACACCCGTAAAATCATACAAATCATATGAAGAGAGATCTTTCTCATATCTTGGTCCATTTCTGTGGAACAGATTACCCATGGAACTAAGACAAACAAGAACACTCGATAGCTTCAAAAGACATTTTAAGCATTTTCTGTTCCTACAGGCTTATCTTTCGAAAGCTTTTAGCGTTATTTTTATTATAGTTGTTCTGTGCCTACGTCTGAATGAAAATAGTCTGTGAGTGTGTGTGTGTGTGTGTGTGTGTGTGAGTGTGTGTGTGTGTGTGTGAGTGTGTGTGTGTGTGTGTGTGAGGGTATGTGTGTGTGCATAAATATATATTGCATGAGAAGAAAGGAAGTAGTAAGAAAGGTTTTGAAAATGGGTATTCCAATGTAAAGCGCATTGAGCTACTTTTTTTGGAAATGCGCTATATGAATGTTATATATTATTATTATTATTATTAAAACAAGGAAACTGGTGGTATAAGATTATAACCAATAGAAATGAAAGCTAAGACGGGGATCTCAAAGTAAAAACAAGTAATTTAGTAGCAAAGGAACACATTCCAGACCTGGAGAGACACAAGGCAACGGAATAAAACATCTATCTTTTCCTTGCATTCACTACAACAAGATATCTTAGCCTGCAGCTGCCACAATACCAACACAAGTCATCTTCACAAACTAGTCTAGAAAAAAAAAGACTATCATCTGTTGAGGCTCAGCTACAGGGGCCTAATGTATCAACAGTGAAAAAGTACAAGGACCAGTAACAACAAGGAGGTATTTTGTTTATGGAAAAAGGATAAGCAGTTTTTTGCATCCACAGCATGAAAGACCTTTTCCATAATATGACATTTCATAAAGACAGTACATCAATTTCTTTCTCTTAACAACAGAATTCATGCATGGTAAGACCTATATACGGTTACCAGTAGTTTCATAACCTTTAAAAATATCAGTAGTAGTAGGTAAAAACAGAAACTGTCCAATGAAGTAACTCTCTTCTCTTTCTTTCTTCTGGCGCTGTGGCGTCATAAACGGTCAGCAATGCCAACAGCACGCAGGAACTCCTCAACAGTCGCTCAGGGGTCCTTGAAAAGTGCTGAATGAAGGTTACTGAAATATCCCAGCCAATGAAGTAACTGAACCCACCTTTATAGGCGTGACATATCGTGAGCCTCGTATGGTTCCAACAGTGACCTGGCTCTCCTCCAGCTGAGCCATGATGTCATCAGCGCCGTAGATGACCAGGGTGTCACGGCCAACGTGGGGCACCAGGCGGAAGTCAGTGCTCAGCCACAAGTCTATCACCTGGACAGGTCAGATGCACAACAGGAACTTAACAAATCTCAGACCTCAAAGCAGTTCATCATGGTAATTATAGAATTGGATGTGTATGCCTTCATGACAAATAGATAGAAAGATAAATGGGAAGATAAATAGAAAGAATGCAGAGATGGAAAGAATGCAGAAATAAAGCCCTAAATAGAAAGACTGATCATTTATAATATAAAAATAGAGACTATACAGAATACGAAAATACTAAAGTTTGTTTTACAAAAAGCCCCTGATACATGCTTCACGATATGGGAAGTAAGAAGAGAGCAAAGTTGGTAAAACACATTACAGTGTCTCCTACTTTTTCAATACTCCGGTTATTAGAGTATTAACTGTAAAAATAAGGTTTAGAATTTGGCAAGCAAGTCTAATTATAAAAAATAAAGGCTAATATTTTAACTGCATTAACTGTTGAGGGGGATGCAAACTATTCCCAGAAAAGTATTCCTTACAGACAATTTTGTATTTTGGGCAACTTCAATAGAACATGAAACTGATTTTGAAAAAAACAACATACACACCTATGAAAAATAGATTTATTCACTTTGCATTTCCATCCTATCCCAAACACTCTCCATCCCTGAAGGCATATATATTCTCCCTTTGACATGGTAAACTTATCCTTTAAATATACAACCAAAATAAATCCCAAATCACAAGGGTTCTGAGCCTAAGCTTTCCATTTATAAATATAGTGGGAAAAGGGCAAACCTTTTGCAACATTTGCTCCAGGGTGGCTTCATTGCTTGCAGTGGTGGCAATCTCCTGGATCTTCTCCTTGTGCTTGAAGATCTAGTTAGATAGAAAGAACCCAAGGTAAGCAGGCAGATGGACAGACAAGTCAAGCAGACAGACAAACAAGACAAAACCAGACAGACAGGCAAAACCAGACAAAAAAACCTGACACAAAACCAGACAGACAGACAGACAGACAGACAGACAGACAGACAGACAGACAGACAGACAGACACTTTACCCTATGAAACAAGCTATGCTTAGCTCAGTCTCTAGCAGTAACACATGTAGTCCTGGAACACTTATTGTTCTCCCTCACCCAAAGAGCTCTCAATGTTCATGTACACAGGGGAGACGGACTGATGGGTTTGCATTTCTAGAGGAAATGTCCCTTCCGCAGCCCTTCATTGTACGACTGCATTTTGCATGGTACCCTTCGCGGATTTTATGTCAAACAAATTCCTTTTGAATGAATTATGTCCGTTCCAAATCACAGCATTCTTGGACAATTTTTGTGTGAGATATTCAGAAAAAAAGTTGTACAGTTGTTGTTTTTTATCACCCAGTATATTACTCTCAAGCAACACTTCTAATCTTGGCACTTATTTGACCTATTTGTGCTGCAAGCGCCCTAAAACTCTGACTGTAACTTAACCATAGAGCTTACATTCATCTCCAGCAAGTTGCCCAAAGTGAAGGTTTTGTCGCGGCTGATGGTCTTGTTGATGATTCTCTGAATCTCCTCCCAGTGCCTCTGCCTCAGGCTAGGGTTCCTCAGAGACGTGATGACGGGCATGCCCTGCTTGAAGTCCATCACCTTCTCCTTCAGTCGAGGCACCACCTCATTGTGAGGAAGTCCTAATATGAAAGGTTTAGGATAAAACAACACACTGTGAAATCAATCACGTGAAACTGACCTTAAGGCAAAGTCGCCCCTTTAGCAAAGAATAAAATAAATAAATAAATTATATGTGGCACAACATGGTGGAATCAGGCGCTCGTCATAATAATGAAAGTCAAGAAACTGGCATTTTTCAGCAGATTTGCGAACTTTTATCAAATTTTTTTTTTTTGGCTCAGCACCTTTTATGCCCATTCAAGAACATATTTCTGGGTGGATTTTACTTAAAAATGTTGATTAAAGGCATTAAAGATGTAAATATTCAGTTTCCACGGACTCTCAAGCTAAGGAAATAACTCATTTTGGCCGCCATTTTCTTGCTCATTTTACCTCTGAAACCAGGCCAACCCCCCCCCCCCTCAATCACCAATATCTTTACTTTTATTCAAGATAAACTGATATTCTTTTCATCAAAAGCAAGGCAAATGGACATGCTTTAAGATGATACCAATAACTCCATATGCCCTAAAATTGATGAGCGCCTGATTCCACCGCCTCGTGACACATATTTTATTTATCCCTGTGGGGGAAATTTGAGTTACAAATGCGAAAATACTTACATAAATACATAAATACAAAATTTGAAAAACATACATACATAAAAATACATACATAAATACACATTATTACACCAATACAGAACAATTTCACAAACATGCCATTGCTGGTTGCCACTATGCAGCGCCCTGTTCTTTTAGCTTGGGTTGTCATTTCTTGCTCAAAGAGACATCCTACTGACCATCCTTCTGAACCCTGTGTCACAGACACTTGCTTGAGTCTGAACTCACTACTCACTCAGCCACTGGAGCCAATCTCATAATATAAGATATTTTAGCCTCGATGAAACACAATTTCTCAAAATAGCTCTTCACTTTTGTGACCCAAAACATATTCAATTACACCATACCGACATACAAACTCTACATGTAGCGTTCAGCTTTCCTAATTATGCATGATGTATTTACATACACCAGCAAACATTTTCAAGTGTCACCTTTCTCCAGCATGTAGACTGTCTGAGTGAATTTGTTGACATTTTTCTGGAGGCCTTCTACATTAATGGAGTCAAATGATGTTGTGGTCCAGTCCTCCACCAGCTTGCCCCATTCTTCCAAAGACTGCCAGAGAAGGCCACGCAAGGTCAAATCACGCTCTATTTCACTGAGGTCTGTCTGGATTTCCTGCACATTGTTCTCCGACTTTTTGTCTGAGGACACCACTCTGTAAGTAAAAAAAGGATATAACCAGCTTGAATTTCGGTAGATATGAAATCGTTGTTGTTGCACTTGTGGTGGTTTCTGTGGTGAAAGCCGTTGCAATAGCTGCCATTGTTTCACTTAATGCTATATTGCTGTACGATTTTGTTCTGGTGGTGCTGGCGGTAGTGGTGCTGTCACTGTGCTCATCTTTGCTATTGCTGTTGCTGTATTTGGTTTTTCTTATGCTGTTGTCACGGACCAAAGGGGCAAAGAAAGCGGTTAATTCTTTAATTGTTCGTTATTTTGGTTTGTATGGTTATCTCTATCGACAGTGTCCACTTTACTAATGATTTTCAAGAAGATGAGGAGGAGAAGGAGAAGACAGAAAACTCTTGTGGCAATGGACATTCATAAAGATATTGGTGTTATTGTTGAAATGACCGTACCAAAGTCTTTCTTTTGTCCACGCAATGTTCTTTATAGACACTTCTTCTTGTTATTGCTCTAGTAGTTTGTGCCATTGCTGATATGTTTGATTCATATTGTTAGCACTCCTCACAGTTACAGCAGCTACCCTTATCATCAATGTTGTGGATACTTGGCCACTTTTCACCACAATTATCCAGATTTACTCGGGGCGTTGGGGTCTAGTGTGGTGCACGGGGATCTAGTGCTGGGGCTTATATATAATTGGTCACTCTCGGTTGGCGGTGGGACAGTCAGACGATAGAGAGAGGAAGGGACAGAGCCAAGGTCTACACACTTTGCAGGAAATCTACTATGCACTACACTTGCTGCAATAAAGTTTCAAGGACTTACAGTGACAGTTACGCATTTGTTACTTTGAATTGTTGTTTAAAATGTGGTAGTGCTGTGTCCCGTAACAATCATGAAAGAAAAGCATGTATGTCAGACACACTCACTCTCCATAGTAGCCCCTTTTCTGCTTGGACAGAGAGGACCCAAATCTATCCTGATAGCTGGCATAACTGCGTGCCTTCACAGACAAGGTTTGCACTTCTTCTTGCAGCAGCCTCACAGTCTCCAGAGCAGACAGTGCGTGCGTGTCAGTGTGTAGTAGTTCTGGGTCCTGCACTCGTGACTTGAGGTCCATCAGTGTGGAGCGGATGTCGCTAATGAGGGTATCCAGCTGAGAGGAGAACTTCCGGATGTTGTCGTCCTTTTTGGCTTCACAGTACAAGATGGTAGACTGTCACAGAAGGAAAAGGGGAAAAAAATAAGTACATGTGACAAATAGCAGTTCACTGCTCACAAGCCACTATTTTCCTAACCATGCAAATGGATACAGTACCTATGAGAATTTAAAGAAAAAATAATAACTTTAACCAAATTTTAAAATGCTTGAGTTTTTCTTTAACTATTGCTAGTTAAATGGTTACGTTAAAAACTTTTGAATTTAGAATAGAAATAGTTATGCCTAATTCACAACTCAAAATTTCCTGTCCATATTAAATCAGTGTCTCTTCCAGAAAAAGTCGTTAATATTTCAACTCATTAGCTACTATTTGGGAATAAGAAAAAGAGAGGTAGACAAATATATCTAAATTGAGTTAAGCTCTACAATAAGATTTTTAAAACAGAAATAACAGCGGAAAAGAATGCATTTTTCCTAAATATTTTAATGTGCCCAGCATTTCACCTTGAGATGCTGAAAGCTCGGAGAAAGAGTCTGGTACAAGGCCATGTCTTCAGGCATGATATCAATGTTGTAATCCTTGGCTATTGTGAACATCTTGTTGACCACATTGTACTCCTTCTCCAGGGCTGGTAGTTCAGTCGACATGCGACCCAGGAAACTCAGGTGCTCCACAAATTCTTCCACTTTCAAGATTGTTTTGTCAAGCCTCTTAGACGCTCCCTAAAGAAAAAGTAAAAGATACTAAGATTATTATCCATAGGTTCAACAAAAAACTTGCACAGTCCTCAGCCCATTGACATGCCAATTTACATAAAATAATAATTCAAGATCAATTTCATACTCTGCCTTCTCCTTGCCTTTTTTGTTCATGCTGTTATCAACCAAGTTACAGACAGCCAATTATAGTCTTGGTCACTGTCACTGACACTGACATAGTAGCTTGGTTGTCATTTGCAACTGCAAATATTGTTGAAGCTGCTATTTTCACGCTCCATTTCATTTGGTGATTTTTTCTTTTGTTACTGTTGTTGTTGTTTCTGGGGTTTAAAAAAAAAATATTACATCACTGCACAGGCATCTATCATGCATTGAATCAGCAATTTGTTGCTGAACGAGGAAAACCTAATTTTGATTCTCATGTGATGAGAAATTTTATCTGGTATTCCTGTCTTTCACTTGGGATGCTCCATTCTTCTCACCCCAGGCTGACCCCTACAGGCAAGGTTTAAGCCTCCCTCTTAAATGGTGCAAATTATGTTGGGGTTGTAAAAACATTTAGACTAATTACATCACTACTATGATAGTCATAACTATTTTATTTGAAGTATTTATTTAGGTTAAAGAAAGCATGATGCTAGGGAAGTTAACAGTATTGTTGACAATGGAATAGTGTGGTGATTACTGTTGTAACAGCCTTCATTGAGGTGGGAACAGCATTTCGAGGTTTGCTTTATTAAGGAGTTTATAAGAGTAATTTCTTCCAAAAATAGCCATAGATTGTAAAAAAAAAAAAAAAAACATTCTGGGCTTGGTAAGTTTGTCTACTAAAGATCATGTTTCCCTGAAACACACATAAAGAAAGATGAACAGTCTACCTTGATAATGGTGATGAGGTCATCGTTATGTTTGTTAGCTATGATGGGGAGGAATTTGTTGACAGCATTCACGACTGCTTGAGGGAATGGCAGACAGGAGCCCCTGAAGTTGTCCGCTTGAACTTGAACCATAGCAACCCGATGTGAGGTATTCATCTTGTTCATGCGACGAATCTGTGACGAAATTGTGCACACAAGACAATCAGTGCACAAAAAAATACAGAGCATACAAAAGTATTTATAACATTTCATGACAAAAAGAAATGTTTGCTTCCCTGGACGATCATTAAAAAAGTCAGTAACATTATGACCATGCAGCTCTGTATCCCAGAATATCTCAGAAGTAATCAAATCAATCACCCAGTTTCTCAATAGCAGGTACTGTCATCGTTAAAGTGGTATTCATTGTCTTTTGTCCCATGTGAAGAAAGCTCAGGACACAAAACAGTAACTCATCTCATCGGGCTGTTCAGTTCATTCTAATTAACCAGATCTGTGCCTAGGAAGATGTACAGGCTGCCATGACATCACTGTGATAAACAACACGAGCACCATCTCTGACCACTGCTAAGTGAGCTTACATACTTTCAGCTGAGTTAACCCTATCTGCAACATCGCGTTTTACTATCGTATCCATACGACATGGGAAACTCTGTGTTACCACTTTCCAAAGAGAAAATTTACTCAGTAATTCCATCCGTACACTTTGCATAGCAGTCAGTCAAAATGATTTTTTGAGAAATACATAAAGCTTCAAAGAGATCTTCGTACTAGAAGTATTCTAAAAAGTGAAGAACAAAATCCCGGGGGTACAAAATGACCCCAGGGTGTACGGATAATAGGGTTAATGTAAGAAATATGGGCGAAAAAATCTTTTCCATGGATACGATGTTCTGTTTGCCACTGCTTTGAATCAACATTAATATCTTGTCAAACCCTGTTGGTGAAAACTACTTGTACAAAAGCAAAAGTCAATAAACAAAGTTACCATCTCTGAGTGTGTAGCCAGCACTTGATTGAACTCATCAGTGGACCATGGCTTTTTGTTGAGGGAATCCTCCACATGCATTTTCTTTGACTGGTCTACCATCTGGCAGAATGTGTCATAGTTCTGGAAATGAGAAAATGTCAGACCCATATAGGATAAACCCTATAATTCAAAACACCAACAAAAAAACTTATTCAACACAAGTTACCTACAATAACAATGGAAAATGGATGGGGAGAGTACATAATGTATTACAGTGGTGACTGAAAGATATAACACGGAAAGTCAGAAAAACATGGAAAGTCAGAAAAACAGAACATGCAAGTCGGAAGCAAAAGTTTAGCTAAAACATTTCTTATGACACAAAGGCACCCTTCTGTCTTTGCAGATTAAGGCATTTGAGAGGCGATGATCTTCCTCTTGTCCCAAAAAAGATAGGTGTGACTAAAATAAGAGAGTAAACACCATTAGCAGCAAGTACAAAAGAGTGACCAACGATCCCTGCTTTGTAGCAACATCTCACGCTACTTCACCCATTTCAGGACATTATTTTGACTTCGATATAAACTTCAGAAACTATATGTGAGGCATCGTGGTGAAATCAGGCGCTTGTTAAAATAATGAAAGCAAAGAAATCGGCATCCTTTTGGTCAACGGGCAATTTTTTTCTAATTTTCTTTCTTTGGCGCAACACCTTTTATGTTCATTCAAAAACCCATTTGTGGTTGGATTTTACTGAAAAACATTGATGACAGGCACAAAAAATGTAAATTTTCAGTTTCCAAGGACTCTTAGTCTATGGAAGCTACCAAATTTTGGAGGTCATTTTCTCGATAATGGTACCTCTGAAACCAGGCGACCCTGACCTCCTTCAATCTCAAATATTCTCGATTTCTATTCAACATAGATCAATATTTTTTCCCCAAAAATGAAGGAAAATGAACAGGCTTTAGCATGATACCAATAACCCCATATGCCCAAAAATTGAGGATAGCCTGATTCCACCCCGCCGTGACACATACGTGGTGGATGCTGACAAAATGAGTTACTTTTCGGATTTGAGCCCTATGGAAACAGATACGTCACGCTTATAGGTGAAGTTTTTTCAATTTATAAGTGTGAAATAATAAAAGGCTTATCATACTTAAAGAATATGGCATCAATAGACAAATCTACAAATTTGACCCTAGTGTTGATTTTTGGCCAATATCTCCATTTGTGGATTGCAAGAAGTCACTCATTTTGTCAGTACGCCTCACATATTCTACCAGCTACGTGTCCTCTCCTAGCACAAGACCGAGCAGTACCACTGACCGTGGCGTACTGCTCCAGTAGCTCCATCTCCATGTCCATGTAGCTGAGCATGCCAGAGAGAAGTCTCTGATAGGCCGGATCATCTCGGAGAATCAGGTCAAGGTCAGGCCACTCATTCATCATCTCTCTCCGTTCCTCGTCCTGTTCCTCATCAAACTTGAGTTTTAGGTCGTGCCTGGGAGGAGAGTAGAAGACGGCCAGCTTGGGTTCTCTCAGCATCGGCACCACCTGAACTACGAGAGACAAAGCAATATATCTCATTTTTAAAATTCCTTTTAATTAGAGAGAGAGAGAGAGAGAGATTAATTTTTGTTTAAGCTTAGTACTTTACAAAAGAAATAAATGGATGTAATTTCCAATGCAGACCACTCCATCACTCAACAAAGCATCATGGAATTAAAAAGGAAAACTAAATGAAAGAAGAGAAATAATTTTTTATCATTTATACCCAAACTTCAAACTTATCAGTGGTTTTCATAGACACAATCATTAGTGGGTGGTTGCTGGGTGCTCTGGTGTGGTCTGCTCCTTCTTACCTATCAAACATCTATTGTCCAAATCACTCCTTCTTTTTTGTTTCGTTACTCTCTTGTAAACCTCTAATCTTCCGCACTTATATGACCTGATTGTGTTGCAAATGCCGAAAAACTCTTACTAAAACAAAAAGACACAATCATTTTCTCTCCTCACATGGTCAAAGCATTGATCTACCCTATAAAAGCTGATACATTCATTGTCATTCTTTCCCCTTCACTTACACCGTGTTGTGACAGCTGCTGTTTCATTGTTTCAAATCACACAACCAAAGCATAGTGATAATGTCATGTCATAAAAATTCACTCAAAAGCCATTTGTTTCCATTGCACACAAAACAATGCACACTACTCAGACACGCACACATGCACAAATTTATTAATATAATCTAATCCTTTTTTTAAAGCAAACCTCTCAATCTTCCCTGAGGCATCAGTGTTTCCTTTGGACCATTTATTTATCAAAGAAGAAACAAGGAAAGCCAAATGGTAGGAGCTGAGCTGTGCCCCTAGAAACCTGCCTAAGAATCCAGTCTGCCAAAGAACCTGCTTTTTTTGTCTCTCAGAGACCAGGTTTTAAGGTAGAGACAACAGTATTTTCAATTCCCAGCTCTTTAATACGTGATGAATAAACAAGTCACACTTTTAACACTTTGCCCCCATGAGGCGCCGATCGGCAACGGTAAGAGGCCGTCCTTTTTCTCCACAGGACGCCAACAGGACGCGATTGCCCACAGTGTGATATAGCAAAGAAAACGTTTTTGATATTCACACTTGTTAAAGATAAATTTCCTTTCAGGATTGTTTGTGTCACCTTTGAGGTAAAAAAATCAGTTTGTATACAATTGGAGTAAATTTTTTTGAAAAGTGTCAAGTAGACCTAGCATGAGTGCTGCTTAACTTTTACGCCATGATGAAAATTCGGGTGATGAATGAGGTAGATCCAATGTTTTCAGTTCTGATTCTAATTCCTTTTTTGGTGAACATGTGATCATCACTTTTAATTTTCTTAGTATACTGAAATTTTAATAATGGTTGGGGTATTTTTGCTGAGATACAAAGGTGTAGTACGGATGTACCGCATCTGCATCCTGGTCCGTAAGGACAAGTGTTGTGCGCTCTGCGTGGGTGGAAAGTGTTAAGTATAGTGTGTCAGACAAAAAAAAGCATTACCATCCACTCAAGTTCAGACTTTGGTTGTAACAAGTCAGACATTCATTCACAAACAATTGCCATGTAAGGTTATCATAAGACGTACACTCCCAGGAACCTTTATGAAATGGTTAAAAGTGCTAATGTTCAGCCCAAGGCCAACATCAATGAAACTTGGAACATGGCGGTATGAAATAAACAACATAACCAGTAAGTAAACACAATACTTACTGACTGTGTCCTCAAAGTAGCAGATCATGGACTGAATGCTGGCTTGGAATTCTGAAGCACATGGCGAAAGACTGACCACGGCTTTGCGGGGAAGATGGGTATCCCTGTTAATGCATCAAGTCGGGTATAAATGTTTAATATTCTTACACAACAAAAACATAAAGAAGAAAGTTAACATTTTTTTACTTATACCAAGAAGGTGATAAATTCGAAGCAGCTATTAGTTAGAGGCTGTTCTCTTCAAACACTAGATGAAAGAAATTTACTTATCACACCCCATGCAGTACTGTGTGTCAGTGTTCAGCAAGGGTGAGACACAAACACATCAATGATGAGCCGGCTGCGATGCTTTGAAGATGTACAAAGTCTAAAATAATCTGGTGGTTGATTATGTCACTTATTCCCACAGCAAGACCTCAAACTACTCAACTTCCTTTCCCTACAAGAGCAGGTTTGTTTTGTAGATTTTTCATCAGCTAAACATTTGAAATAGTTATTTTCCCAATGAAAAAATTGTATCTTTGGTAGACTGTCTTTGAATTACTGGGATTTTAGAGAAATGATCTATAAAATAGAAATTCCATATCATATCAGTGGCAGGACCAAGAATTAAAAAGAAACATTAGTATTGCAATAAAAATAAACTATTTCTATTTCAGAGCCACAAATATTTCAGAAAAATATTTCATCGATCTATTCAAAAGCCACAAAAAGTTTAGAAAAATATTTCAATCTATTCCAAGTGTACAAAAAGTTGAGACAAATACAGCGCACTCACTCCTTGGTGGTCTCAGGATAGGCATACTGGTCTGGCTGAACCCCGGAGTCCATAGAGCGGTCCCGGGAGCCGTCGGAATCAGAAGAGTCGCCACTCTCGTACTCACTGTCATACTCAGACTCAGAGCCTAAAAATGAAAGATGTACAATTCTATTTAATTATCACTGGATCAAAATATTAAATTTTATTACTACATAGACTTAAAGTTACTAGTACAAAAACTGTCATAAAAAATTCATTATGTTGTGTACTTTTAAAGCCAGTTTTTACTGATAAAAAATGTGTCTCAAATGCGACAGCAAGATATTTGTTCTCCAACTGAAAGCAGCAAATTAATAAAATCCAAAATTAGAACCATATAAAAGATACATTTTGTACCTTGTCACATGTCAACAATGAAAATAGTCTTAGCTCCAGGAAAGGGTACTGCTTTATGACTCAGATACAAAGAGTAATCATATTTCGGTAGATGTGATGAACACAGCTTTTAATCAGAAAAACAAAACAAACGTCCTGCTAGGCCTTTGGATTATATTCATATTTAAGATGGGGAAATTGTCTATTGTAAAGCTTTTTTTTTTTTACAAAAGGTGCACAACCCTTTGCTGTATCTGAACTTTCTACCAAAGGAATCATGCTTTTTGCCACTGCTTACTAACCAATGCTATGAGCCACGCAAAAAAAAGAAAGGTAACCATCCTCCTCACTACCTTTCTATTACAAGAAGAAAGCCATGATTTCCACAAGTATTCCTGAATGCAATAAATGCCAAGAATATAATAAGGGGTGACTGCAGAAATTATCTTTCATCGGTCCCAGCCAAATCCAAGCACATCGACTGCTCAGTCCTAGACTCCATCATACCTCACTTCTCAAAATGGTGCATGGTGAAGTCTTACACTGAGCTGTTGATGTACTATTGTTGGAGCTCTAACACTTTGCCGGTGTTTACCACCCAGTTTCTTTGGATTTCCCCCAAAATATGATGGCAAAGTGTTAAAGTGATAGGAATAAATAAAAAAAGAACAGTTAACTTACAGAACATCATCACAGTCATAACACAATTGCCTTAATAATTCTTCTTCTTTTTTTCTGATTTAAGAACACTTTTGAAAACTGCTTACTGAAATCCACCCTCTGATTTGAGAAAAAGAGCTAATGTCTATATAAAAAGTTTTAAGTACAAGAAACTAAATCCTGTTACATTGCAGCTCCAAAACAAGTAACAAGACATTTATACTTTATTGATAACCTGAAAAGAAATGGCTTAGACGGATGGGTTATGACTAACACAATTATATATGGATGATAAAAATGTTACGGTACTTGATTCTTCATCTTGGAACGAAACGCCTTTCTGCTTGTCTCCACCTTCTCCTTGGTCACCTGGGAGGGCCCACTTGACCCGACCTTTCCCTTTGCGACCTCCGCCCTCAGGCGTCTTGGACCTGGAAGACTTGGACGAGCCTGAAGGAACGTTGAGCACAAGGTTTATGGTGAACACTGGGTTGATCACTTCCTCCACCACATCTCTGCGTTTGATCTCTTCCAAAATCTGAAAAGGAAGACGATACATTATTGAAATATACAGCTGTTCCGGTCAGTAGTAAAAATTATAGTTCATCTATCAATGTCTGACAATGACCAAATCGTCTGAAGAGGAAAAAATTTCTTCAGCGAAATCCAAGAAATAAAGATAAAGATGACAGAGGCATCAGGCATCTCCACCTCCTTTAATCGCAAATATCTTGACTTCTCTATTGAAGATAGATGGTTAATTTTTTCACTGAAAGCAAGACAAATGAACAAGCTTTAAGATGATACCAATAACTCCAAAAACCCAAAAAATTGACGAGCACCCAATTCCACTGCGGCGGCGGGACACATATTTTATTTATCCCTGTGGGGGAAATTTGTGTTGCAAATGCGAATATACTTATGTAAATATATATATACAAAATTTGAAAAACACACACACACAAACACACACACACACATACACATTATTACACCAATACAGAACAATTTCACAAACATGCCATTGCTGGTTGCCACTATGCAGCGCCCTGTTCTTTTAGCTTGGGTTGTCATTTCTTGCTCAAAGAGACATCCTACTGACCATCCTTCTGAACCCTGTGTCACAGACACTTGCTTGAGTCTGAACTCACTACTCACTCAGCCACTGGAGCCAATCTCATAATATAAGATATTTTAGCCTCGATGAAACACAATTTCTCAAAATAGCTCTTCACTTTTGTGACCCAAAACATATTCAATTACACCATACCGACATACAAACTCTACATGTAGCGTTCAGCTTTCCTAATTATGCATGATGTATTTACATACACCAGCAAACATTTTCAAGTGTCACCTTTCTCCAGCATGTAGACTGTCTGAGTGAATTTGTTGACATTTTTCTGGAGGCCTTCTACATTAATGGAGTCAAATGATGTTGTGGTCCAGTCCTCCACCAGCTTGCCCCATTCTTCCAAGGACTGCCAGAGAAGGCCACGCAAGGTCAAATCACGCTCTATTTCACTGAGGTCTGTCTGGATTTCCTGCACATTGTTCTCCGACTTTTTGTCTGAGGACACCACTCTGTAAGTAAAAAAAGGATATAACCAGCTTGAATTTCGGTAGATATGAAATCGTTGTTGTTGCACTTGTGGTGGTTTCTGTGGTGAAAGCCGTTGCAATAGCTGCCATTGTTTCACTTAATGCTATATTGCTGTACGATTTTGTTCTGGTGGTGCTGGCGGTAGTGGTGCTGTCACTGTGCTCATCTTTGCTATTGCTGTTGCTGTATTTGGTTTTTCTTATGCTGTTGTCACGGACCAAAGGGGCAAAGAAAGCGGTTAATTCTTTAATTGTTCGTTATTTTGGTTTGTATGGTTATCTCTATCGACAGTGTCCACTTTACTAATGATTTTCAAGAAGATGAGGAGGAGAAGGAGAAGACAGAAAACTCTTGTGGCAATGGACATTCATAAAGATATTGGTGTTATTGTTGAAATGACCGTACCAAAGTCTTTCTTTTGTCCACGCAATGTTCTTTATAGACACTTCTTGTTGTTATTGCTCTAGTAGTTTGTGCCATTGCTGATATGTTTGATTCATATTGTTAGCACTCCTCACAGTTACAGCAG